CCAGATATCATAAAAGTCAGCTATGGGTCAAACTTCTCCATTTTCCAAACTTTAATTTTTCTAACTTTCGCCGAAATGCCTCAAATTACTCTACGGACCTCCAAATTCGGACATATGCCTAAGTTCAAAATTACCATACGAAGTTGTTGACATCATCCAAAACTCATTCCGAAGACGTTTATACAAAAGTCAAATTCCGATCAAATTCTTACTACTTAAGCTTCCAAAGCTAGAATCCTTCTCTAATTCGACTCTGAATAACTGAATTTAACCATGAACACAAGTCGATACATAATATGAAGTTGTTCAAGGCCATACGCTACCGAACAAAGCTTAAATTCTCAAAATGATCGGTCGGGTCATTACACACGACCCAACTTCCCCTCTATTTGGGTATCGTGATGGCACCTAGTCTTAAGGACTAGGTAAGCCTAACATTTATTGAAATAACAACATTATTTAGATCACCTCTAATAAATTGAAATAGAAATCTCTTTATAATCTACACTTCTCATAACCGGCGGTACAAATCAAAAGCTCTACAAAGTTCGCTACAACTTCTAAATACAACTGTATGGAAATAAGTACAACAGTATGAATACAAAATAGAAAGGTGACTTCAAAGCCTTTGAACGCAGCAGCAGGGTTACCTTGAGTCTCCACAGCAACGATCCACACAGCTACTAGCAAAAACCTGGATTTGTACAAAAATATATAGAAGTGTAGTATGAGCACACCACATCGGTGCCCAGTAAGTATCAAGACTAACCTCGGTGGAGTAGTGACGAGGAATAGCTAAGACACCTACTGATCTAATAGATTAAACAAGTATGAGTATAGAAACAACGGTGCATGATTTCTACATGGAAACTACGCAATATGACTAACAATACAGTAATTACAATAAGAAAGGGAAAGCGACAAGTATCAGCGGAATACCATAATAATAACATAGAAAAGTGAGCGAAAACACAACCTAAATCCGAAACCAAAGATACAACAAGGACAAATAACAACTCAGCAACTACGACAGTTTTCACATTTAATTTTTAGTCAACAACCTTCACAAGTACCAAACCTCAGAAAAATTACAACTCACGGGTCTCAATACCTAAACCCTAACACTTGGCATCATATGCCCTAATCACACCTCATAACCGCATTGATGACTCATATGCCAAATAGAGCCATTCTTACATGGAAGGCAAGTAAACAAGAGTGTGCATCTGTACTCAATAATATCAATAAAACCTCTTATCCGATAAAGGTGCTTAGTTATGTGTATGCTTGTCCAAGTGTCCTAACATAGTTCATACCAGCTAGTAAGCATTAGGAAAAGAACGGACAACATATGAACTGTTTGCAGAATAGAGGGATCTCCCGAAATACCGTTCCATAGTCCCAAAGTAAATATGTAGAACATGGGGGTCTCCCGAAAAACCGTTCTGTAGTCCCAAAGTAAATATGCAGGCAGGGAAATCTCCCGGAATACCGTTTCGTAGTCCCAAAGTAAATATGCAGAATAGGGGGATCTTCTAGAATATCGTTTCGTAGTCCCAAAGTAAATATGCAGCGCAACCAACAGAGATAACATTTACATCACGGCAGAAACCTCGTGCATTACCACAAAAAGTACAACAACAACAATTACAATAATACAAAGTACGGCAAGCAAATCAACTCAAGAACTTTAAATCACAAAGAAATGATAGAATTCATTCACAATGAATAACCACAATAAGGAATACTAGGTGTAAAGAGAACAACTTAACAAGGGAAAACTAAAATGTAGCAATGACTCCACAATATACGATTCAAGAAGAAGGAAGCTAACACGAGTCAAATAATTTCAAATAATGCTATGTCAACTGTAATATAGGATAGCGGTCGAAGTCATGTCTCAGGGAATGGGCTAACTTCTTTTAAGATTGAGCAATTACGAAGGTTATCCAACAATTCAATTAAGGATAAGTGGCGGAAAAATAATCACAATCTCAATTAAGGCTAAACAATTATAGGATGAGACAATAATAATTTTGGATAAAGATAGGCAGTTATGAAAAGATAACATGTCAATAGGAGAGGTACAAATCTTCAGTTAAGTCAAATAAGAGTCAAATAGACAATGAGAATGAATCATAAAGCAATTAATTTCAAATAAGCATATAGATGTGAAACTAGCAATTAGGAAACTCAATCATATCAATAAAAACTTCCTACTTAGTAAATATAAGGACCTAAGAATCCTAAAAGGGCCAATTTTTCACAAATAAGTCACGAGCACGCACTCATCATCTCACGTATACAAACTACAATCAATATAGAAGACTCAAATCCTAAGGAAAAATCCCTCAAGCAAGGTTAGGCAAGATACTTACCTCAAAGAAGACAAATCGATACTCTAAAATGAACTTCTCGGGTGAAAAGACCTCCGAACGGCTCAAATCTAACCAAAATAACTTCAAAGCACAAATAAAACTCATAAGAAATTATTCCAGAACACAAAGTCTCAATCTTTAATAAAATCCAAAAATCGGTCCAAAATTCGACCCCCCGGCCCGCACCTTGGAACCCGATAAATTTCTATAAAACTCAAACACCTATCCCGATACGAGTTCAACCATACAAAAATTATCAAATTCCGATACCATTTCATCTCTCAAATCATGATTTTTTTATTTTTAAAACTTTCTTCAAAAACAAAATTTTTCCTCAACTCAAAACACAAATTAAATGATAAAAATGAAGATAAAATCATAGTATATATTAGATACTAGGTGAAGAATACTTACCCAATCGATTTGCTTGAAAAATCCAAAAACCAATCTCCCAAAATCAAACTTTAAAACTTAAAATATAAAGAAAATGGCTAAACCCTCAATTTAAATAGTTCTGCCCAGCACTTCCGCATTTGCAGACACATAAGCGCATCTGCGCTATCGCATTTATGGGCAGCTGTTCGCATTTGCGAACATGACTTACAGGCTTAGGTACGCATCTGCGGACAATATAGCCGCATCAGCGGTGCCGCAGAAGCGATAACAGGAGCACAGAAGCGGACTCCTTCGCAGATGTGATAGATCAACCGCAAAAGCGGTTTCGCACCTGCGTTCCAGCATTCGCAGAAGCGAGCTAGCTTCCGGTGCTCAAAGATTGCATATGTGATCAGGCTGACGTAGAAGCGGAGCCACACCTGCGGTCTAAAGTCGGAGGTGCGAGACACCAGAACCAGACTTGTTCAAAACCATGCAAAACATCCGAAACTTGTCTGAAACACACCCGAGACCCCCGGAACCCTATCTTAACACACAAACAAGTTCTATAACTTAACACGGATTGGCTCGAGGTCTCAAATCACATCAAACAACGCCAAAAAAGCAAATCGCGCCATGAATCGAACTAATGAACTTTCAAATATTCCAACTTCTAAAACGCGTTCCGAAACCTATAAAATCAACCCGGAATGACGCCAAATTTTGCAGACAAGTCCAAATGACAAGACAGAGCTGTTCCAACTCTCGGAATAGCATTCCGAACCCAATATCACAAAAGTCAACTATGGCTCAAATTTCTCTATTTTCCAAACTTCAACTTTTCCAATTTTCTCCGAAATGCTCAAAATTACCCTACGGACCCCCAAATCCGAATCCGAACGTGCGCTTAAGTCCAAAATCACCATATGAAGTTGCTGACATCATCCAAAAATCATTCCGGAGCTGTTTACATAAAAGTCAAATTCTGATCAAATTCTCACTACTTAAGCTTCCAAAACTAGATTGCTTCTTCCAATTCGACTCTGAATCATCCGGTAACTGAATTCAACCATGCACGTAAATCGATACACATAATATACTGCTCAAGACCTTATGCCGTTAAACGAAACATAAATTCTCAAAATGACCGGCCGGATTGTTACATGTATGATATTTGGTTTTTATTGTTAAAATAATTTGGTATTTTAGAAAATAATACCGAAATACCAATATCGTACTGAAATATATACTAAATTACACATTACAGATATTATTGAGCAACATAATAAGTTACACAATATTTTTCTTTGGCATTCATGTTGAGGTTGGCAGTAAAGCCCATGCAGTGGCGAATCTACTTAGGCAATTGTGGGTGCTTAAGCACCCACCACCTTTGACCATATTTAGTAAATTTGCATAGTAATTGTAAAAATATTTTGATAAATATTGAGTGAGAACCCACAACTAAACTCGTTTTGCTCTTCTTTGGAATTTTTATTGGCGAGCACCTATAACTTTAAAATCCTGAATGCGCCACTGAGCCCATGTACTTCTTTAGAAAAATGGAGGAACAAGGTAGGATGCAGATTCTAATTCTCTAGGTTGCCAAGCAATTTAATGTAATATTTCAATAGTTTTGGAGTGTTTCTTACTCCATTACTCTTGTATTTTTGTTGCATATATATGTTGAATTAGTCCTTGTTGTATTTTCTAATTTCCATAATTAACTCTAAGCAAGTAACATGATATTTTCAATAATTAAATGTATTCCTTTATATACCTTTTTCTCTTAGTTGTTAATTGATGGTTTTGGATAAAGATTTTGTCAATAGTCATGCGAGTTTAGAACATTTTCATTGACTACTTTAATTAAAAATATTATAGTCTATGGCTCTATGCACTAGCTAATATTCAAGTCGAATAAATCGAAATTACAGAAACGAATAAACCGAAACCGGAAGGACAAAAGCCGAACCATACTGAATATAATTAGGTATGATTATTGGTATAGCATTTTATGAAATCGAATACCGAAAATACCTAACAGAAATAACTAAATACCATACCGTACTGACCGACGAACACCTCAAAACTTGCTTACCGTATCTTTTTCTAAATGTCACAGCAAATAATTGAGTGCTAATCTATTGTATTCAGAAACGTCTCATTCTTTTTTATCATAAGCATGCCAATAATTGTGTAGAGCAAAATAAGCTGATGTATTTGTCAGAGAACATAACCACAACAAACGATAAATATAACTTATACGAAAACAAACTGTAAAAAATTTGTCCTTTAGTACATCCAATACAAAAGATCAAGGAAAACCAATCCAAAGGACTAGATCCTGAATTTTATTTATAATTTCTTAAATTCCAAAAACAAGCATAAATAATAACATCATAGTATTATTCGGCTTGTATAAATTTAGTTGTTGTTGTCCCACCAGAATTGTGATTGGAGATAATCGATCACTTTCTTATCAACTTGGAACGCTTTGGCGAGAACATCATCATTAATTTGTGGATCTGAGCCAAAAACTGTATTAGCAATAGTGATAACTCCTGGATTTTGGCTACTGAGTCCAGCAAATGCAACAGCCTTAGTCTTTCCCACATTAAATTGGAAATGAATGAGACCTATTGGGAAAACAAACACATCTCCAGGTTTTAGAATCTTTGTAAAGAGTTTGTTCTTCATATTTGGTCCGGGATTTGAAAGGACAAAACCGACATAGAGAGTGCCCTCGAGTACAGCAAGAACCTCAGTTGCTCTAGGATGAGTATGAGGTGGGTTGAGACCATATGGTGCATAATCAATACGAACTAACGAAATGCCCAGA